GCCAAATCATGGTTTAGTTGCTGGGACTATATCAGGAATGAAAATTCAGTTACTTTCAGGATCTGCATCGTATGGAACAAGGTAGAAAATAAGGACATACATAGTATGCCACATGTTGACAGTTATTATGGAGATAGTAAGCCAGGACAAGGAAGCAATATAGTGATCGTATAGTGTTATTTCACATAGGATGAGCAAAGGAAAGTCTTAACAACAACATGCCACTTGAAAACAGACAAGAGGGAAGTGAAGGGAATGTTTTGTAGGCACAAAGCATAGAGTGTGCAAAGGCCTCAATGCAGGTGTACTTTGACTTTAACTTAGCACACAACATGCAATTTTATTCAGCTGTTAAAAAATGACAAATACCCCTGAAATTTCAAGAGTTCTCGGGCTCTATAGCAGCAAATGACAGAATAGATGGCTCCAGGGTTTGATCCAACTGTTGCCTCAGGAACAGAATTATCAAATTTCATAGTAATTCCAGTTGAAGAGATCTGTTCCCTGATACCAAGGGCAGTGATAGCTCCTTATGCTCTTAGCCTGGGACAGCTTTCTGCTGCCTGCCAGCATCCTTTGGATTCCTGCAGTCTAAAACTGCCTATCTGGGTCTTCCTGCATCTAGGAGTTGTGATAGGTCAAATGGAGGCTCTTAACCCTGGTAGGTCACTGTATACAATAATCTCAAGATGTGCTTTGCCACTGTCATCCTAGTCACACCAGATGACAAAATGGTATCTCTGTCTTTTGCTCATCCATTTGCTGGAGGATCACTGTTTCACCCACACTGAAGACTGAGGACTGCAGGCTTGTGAGGAAGAAAGGATTGCCTGGATTTCATATGGCTTACTTCTTGGTAGCAGCTTCTGGGTCCTGTCCCTTAAACCAGGAAACTGCTCAGATGAGGTGGTGTTTAGCTTGCTGACCTAATATCCTTTTCTTCCTTCATATATTTCTGCATCTTTTACTGTTTGAGAGATTACTGTTATTATTCAGCTCCCACAAGAGTACCCTGTAGTCTACAATTTTTTTTTGGAAATCACCAAATTTGTTTTTGAGTAAGAGCCCTTTGTTGCTCTTACCCTTGTCTTATAGGTTTAGCCCTTGGCAAACAATTTGCATGTCAGCCTAGGTCATTCAGGTCCTCCACAGTCTCTTCCATCTAGTAATACTCTGTCCTATCTCAGTGAAACCATTGAATCTTCCTACAAGTTTCAGAGAATCTGGTGAACCAAAATTCTTTTAAAAATTTATTCCAAATTATGCTTGTGTGCTTGTGTCTGCAAAGCTGGAAGACAGCATCAGATCCCCGGAGCTGGGGTTACAGGTGGCTATGATTTGCCCAATATGAATGCTGGGAACCAAACTCAGGTCCTCTGCAAGAGGAGTTGCTCTTAGGCTGTTGAGTCATTTCTCTTATCCAAGCAACTGAACCTTATTATCATATAGTGGGGCAACTTGATATGATGTCTCCTGATGAGATAAATGCACATCATAAACCATGAACACTTCTGTGCAAAGTCAGACCTAATCAAATCTTTTATAGCTATTTACAGTGAATGCTGGGACTAGAGTCTAGAATGCAGAAAATATTTTCATCACCTTTTCATAAAGACAGTGTTATGGAAAGAGCGAAGGCACCAGGACACCAAAGAGACAAACATCAGACAGATCTTGATAAAATCCTAATTATATGATAGTTTGAATATACATGGAAAAATTTGAATAAGGGTTGTTAAAAAATACTTGCTGTTTTGTCATGTGATGGCACCATGGCAATACAGAAATTCTTCTTTGAAGGAAACTCATGTAGAAATATTAGGGATGAAATGTCTTCTCTGACACTTAACCTTTCAATGGTTCTGCAAATGTAAAACCACTTATTTATCTAAATAGGACACACAATCCTGCTTGGGTTTTGTTAACATGACCTAAGTTGGGAAGAGGAACCTCAATTGAGAAAATGCCTCTTCCAGGTTGCTTGTAGGCAAGTCTACAGTGTACTTCCTTGATTAATGATTGATGTAGGTGGGTCTATTCTATAGGGGATAAGATGGGGAGTCAGGCCCCCCTGAATATGGGTCTCAGCCAGAAGGAGTCTAAGGGACCTCAGACAATGGAGCCAGGATGTATCCCTGGTGCACAAAAGGACCTTGCTAACACATCCCCCATGGAAGGATAACTGCCTTAACCTAGAGACAGGAGAGAAGCCCTAGTCTCTACTTCACATGACCTATCAGATCTACATGACTCCAACTGGATGGCATTTCCTTACATATGGAATTGGGGTGGGGGGATGGGAGGGTGGTTAGGGTACATGTGAAAGGGCAGAGTGGGTAAAAGTGAGGGAGGGAGAGGGAACTGGGATCGACATGTTAAAAAAAAAGATGGGGAGTAGTAATGTGCCAACCCTATGGAGGTGTCTTTATAAGAAAGCAGGATGAGCTAGCCACTAAGCATTCCTGTGGTTCCTGCTCCCATTCCTACCCTGACTTCCTTTGATGAACTGTAATGTGAATGTGTAAACAATACTTTTCCTCTACAAGTTGCTTTTGGTCATGGCCTTCCAAGGACATAAACACATAGAGATCAAAGGCTGAAAAGGGACCCAGGCAATAGGTGCTATTTGGCTACTTATTCTTCTCTTTCATTTGTATATTGTCAAAATGAAGGTTTTGGGAAGGAGACACAGCAACTATAGGAGGTATTATTTGGTACAAGATCCCAAAAAGAGAGGCACAATGAATTAAAATAAAAGCCCATAGAGAAAGATTACAACCACACTTCTGTGCATCATTTTTTTAAGACACGAGTGGTACAGACCTAGAAAATTGAACAGATGTAGGTGTGGCAAGCTGAGTTGTACCAACAATTTTTGTTTTTTAATTACTCTGATAAGTCATCATGACAAAAACAACTTGAAGAGGGTTTATTCGGGCTTAGGGTTCCAGAGGGATAACAGTCCATAACGGTGGGGAGGCATGGCAGTAGGCAGAAATGGTGATAGGAGCAAGCTGAGAGCTTACATTGTGAAGTGCAAGCACAAAGAAGATGGCAAATAAGAAATGGCAGATGCTTTTTAAGCTCAAAGGGTTCTCCCCAATGACACATCTAATAAGGCCATACCTGCCCAAACAGCACCACCAACTGGAAACCAAGTATTCAAATGCCCAATACTATGGGAGATATCCCATTCAAACAACCACAAGAGTGAGTGATCTGAATATTACATATGAAACGAGGGAAAGAGGAAAGTGGTTTGTTGGTGATATAAGGAGAATAAAGGTGTGGAATAGCTCCAGCATGGAATGGCAAAGGAAGGCAACAAGGAGTTTGCAAGATTTCATAGGTACAGCCAAGGTGTTGACTCCAGAATCTGGGAATTGCTCTTCTTTTTGGCTATTGTCTCCTGCCATAACACATACCAGATTCTGATTTTTTTGATTATATATACTAGGCCCAGCTTCTTAAACAATGGGTCACACAATTTAATTTGGGAGTTAAAAAACAAACCAAAAAACAAAACCCACATTGGTAGCAGTAAAAGGTTTCTGGAAAAAGAAAAAAAAAATAATGTACAAGGAATCTAAGGTATTTCTGATAGCACTTGCCTGTTTAACTGTGTGAGTTCACTGAAGCTTTGGTTTTGAACATATAACATATACTTTGAGCTGTGCATACAATGCCAACATGTTATGAACTGCAGTATTTTCACTACACATAACAAAGACATATTTCTCTATGATCATTCCTAAATATGTAAATAAATTAATGTATATTTGGATTCAAGGGTACAATGTTTGATTTTAAAACTGTCAAGACGTTTCCTTTTTTTTTTTTTTTTCTTTTGGTTTTGGAGACAGGGTTTTTCTGTGCCTTTGGAGCCTGTCCTGGAACTCACTCTGTAGATCAGGCTGGCCTTGAACTCAGAGATCCTCCTCCCTCTACCTCCCGAGTGCTGGGATTAAAGCCATGCATCCCCAACGCCCGGCTATGTTTCCATTTTTCTAAAAGACTTATTTCTGTGTTTGTTGTGCATCTCTGTGATGTATGCACAGGTGTAGGCCTATGGTGGGTGCAAAGGTTAGACAAGGGCTGTAGTTATAGGTGTTGCAGGCAACCTGGCTTGTGATATGGATGATAAGATCGGAAATCTGATCCTCATAATTGTGCAACAAGTGATAGTAACCACTGTCACATTTCTCCAGTGTTTTGAGTTCCAACAAAGACTTAAATAAAATTTAGCTTGGAGTAAGTATAAAATTTCCAACCATTTCTAGAATGCTCCTAAAAATACTTGTCATTTTGTACCCATTTATGTAAAGCAGTATTTTCATCACTAACAATTCCAAGATCAGAATATCAACCAATTGTGAAAAACAGTGAAGATGCTCTTTGAACTGTAGTACCAAAGATTCAGTCAGGTTTAACCTTCACATAGAAGAAACACATCTGCAACTGCACTTCCTGTACAGTATTGACATTGTCTTATCCAATAGACCAAAATTGATTGAGACTAGTGACCTTCTAGCTAGCTCTGTGTTACAACCTCAGCCCAGCAGTTATGCTCTTATCTTAGCTAACAATTATTAATGACATTTTGGTTTGTAAATGCTTTATTTCTGGATGTCTATATATTAACAAATACGTTTAAATACAAAAACAGATTAGTACGGTCAGTGTAAGATAAAGTGCTCAAGTGCTCAGTTATCTAAATCATAGTATTCCGGAAGAAAAAAAAAAAAAAAAAAAAAAAAAAAAAAAAAAAAGCTTTCAGGAAACATTGAAACAGCACAATACAGGCCATTCTTCATGAATGATTTTCCGTTAGTGTTCAAAATATAAGGATTGCTTCCCGTGTCAGTGAAAACAAAAATTTCCAAACAGATTTGCCTTTATTTAAAATTTCTGGGAATTGGGTTGATATGACTTTATATGAAAATAATTTTGATGACCAAGCACTTTTAGTTTCAGACACTAAAGTGGCAGTATTCTGAAAATGGAAGGCAACATTTGGCTTCTGAAGAAAACACCCCCATGTTTTAATTAAACATGTTGGTTTTATGTGCCACTTTTATTGATTTCTTTCTTGGTAACTCTTTTTGGTAGGGGGAAGGATGGACAGTAAGGCATTTCCTTAAACATGTGACTTTGAATCCAAGGATATCTGAAAGAAATACTTTTTGGGTGGTAGGGGGGATCCATTCATCCATATCACTTTCAAGGCACTCAGCAGTGGAGCAGTGGTTGGAAATCTCTGGTTTTTTCAAACTAGATATATCAGGACTTTTGGACTTCCGGCTAGGTGTTTTTACATTCTTTGGGCAGACTGAGGTAGCTTGACCGTTGCCATTTTCAGGAGAAAATTTTGTTTTTTTATAGTTAGCATTAAGATTTGAATATAAGGCAGGCAACATTTTGAAAGGTCCACGTAAGCCATGAATTCTTTGGTGGAAGCCTGCAACTGGAGTTGACTGTGAACATGGAACAAAGTCTTGGCTTTCTTCAAAATCACATTCTGAATCTGACTGAGAACTTGCTCTCAGATATCTTGACGATGCTATGTTTTGCAAGGGTAGTTTTTGTGAAGGCTGGCTGCCTTTTTCATCTATGGGATAGTTTTCTGTGCAAGATGCTTCACATGGTAACAAAATATCCTGTGATATTTTGGTAATTTCTGTTCCACTGTCATTATTTTTAGCAATATCATCAAAAAGATCAACAGAAGCATTGTAGCTACCTTCATGATCAGTTGAGTAACTTTGTGTTAAGTTATTATTGATAGGTCTGTGAGGTAATTCTTTTGCTGTATTTGTATTTTTTGGACTATTGCAAAGAGTCTCCAAAGGATACGTAAGTTTCCGGCATATTGTAAAACTGTCATCTTGGTTCTTTGACCATCTATAATACTGCTTACTTTTTAATTTGTGAAGATCAGAAACTTTACTGTGTTTTTTAGAACACATGCTTGTCAAATGTCCTTTTGTTTCTGAATGTGATTTTTCTCTACATCCATTAAAAGATTTGTTATTATTATAAAAAAAGTCACTTGTTGAGGTGTTAAACCTGAGTGAAATCTCATTCCTCTGTTGTAGGATCCCAGCAGTCCTCTTTCGGGGAACAGATGCTTCCATATCTTTTGACGATGTAAATAGAGTTGAAAGGCAAGTATCTGGTAGAAAATACTCTGAGACACCACTTCTATCACTGCCTATAGAGACAGCTTCTGCTGTCTTATTGGGTTTTGATTCTCTTTGAATTTGAGGACTTAGATTAGACTCACAGTTGGAAAAGGTCTCTTTCCTGGAGTTTTCTTTCACCATTGCTTGTGATGATCTTAAGAGTAAAGGTGATGTATTCAATGCTCCAGTATTTCTCCTGGGAGTCACAGATAACCTGCAGTGGTCTGTGTGGAATTTATCAATGTCATTATCTGTAACCTGTTTTCTGTCCTTAGTATCTGTCTCAATTACAGCCATCTCACTTTCAACAATTGCCAGAAACTTGCTCAGGCTTTCAGAGAAGGGTAGATCATCCCAAATAAAGGAGTCACAGTTCTGAGAAGCACTTGTTGCTTCTTGAGGTCTGAGGGATGACAATGAAAATGCAGGTCTCTCTTGAAGGATTGTGGTAGTATTTACATCACAATGCTGGTAACATGGGATGTCATACTGGGAATATTCAGTTTTAATTTCTGTTTCATTGTAGCATTCTGCATTAGCTTCTTCAAAATGTTCTTGCATTTGTGAAGGGAATAAATTAGAGTCAGACAGCCTAGTTTCATGAAAACTGGGGCAAACTGGACTCAGATGATTAGCTTGTAAACCAAATTCTTCACCCTGCTTCCCTGTTGTATTATTCTTGTCCATACAAGAAACAAGGGTCTGTGAACTCTGAAGGGGATCATGACAGTTCTTAGAACCAGTGGCTTCAGAAAAGGAGATACACTGTTTGTTTTTGTCAGGAGTACCACTGGCCAGGATTTGTTCTGAAGCTGAAAAGTCATCATTAGCTGTTACTTGTGAGTCAGTTGAAGTCAGTTCAAGTGATGGCTGCCAGAATCTGAGAAGATCATCTTTGCTGCAGGACTCCAGAAAACAGGATGTTTTCACAGAGCCATGCATGCTGCCAAGATCACTGTCTGAGTGATCGAAAGTGAGGGAGTGGCTGCTATGCTCCTGAGAGTCGCAATGATGTTTCTTGAAAAGTTGATTTAAATAGTCAATGACAGTAAAGCCTGTAATATGTGGGTCAGGCAGAACAATCTGGGAAGCTATTAGTGTTCTGACTTCTTCTTTGTGTTTACAGCATGACTGCAAGAAGTTAGAGTCTGAATCATGTCCACATATATCTCCAAAATTCTATGAAAGAAGTAAATGAATTAAAATGAGAACAAGATGGCTTTCTTTTGGCTCAAGGAAGAAATAGGAATTTAAAAGTTAAATGAGATATGATGCTAACTGCTTTAACTCCAACTCCTGTACTATTACTGAAAGAACAGCACACACTAAAGACGTGAGTGCTTGGAGGCCTCACGCAGGGACTGTGTGTATGAACTTGGGCACAGAGACTTAACTTCAAATCCTTGTTGGTTACTCCTCTGTGCCTTATTTCCTCATTTGTGAAATAAAGATAATTGATTAACAATAACAAAATGGTATAATATTTAGCACAATGTCTATTCTATAAGTGCTGGTACTATTATATTTGTGAAAGAACAGAAAAACGAAAACTAAACTACATAATATTTTAACAAAGAAAAGTTCATTAGCTCTTGGTTTCTGTTTTTGGGTTTTCCGTATTGCCTGTTTTGTAGTACCATATTCTTTCTACTACATCATTTACAGTGTAATCAAATTTCCATTTCTTTTTAGTTTAGAATAGTTTGTTACTAGTCCTTCAGAATAGAACACTTTAACTCTTTCTACTATTATGTATTTAAGAACATTCTTCTTAATCTATTCTTTTTGAGGCAGGATCTTATTATGTAGGGCTCACTGGCCTAGAACTTGTTATATAGACTAGGCTGGCCTTGAACTCAGAGATCCATCTGTGTCACAAGTGCTGGGATTAAAGTTGTGTACCACCATACCAGGGCTTAATATATTTTTAATGTTTTTAATGAACATTCAGATATTTGTCTTTGAGGTCATTTCTCTCCTTTTATAGAAGATACAGAATTGTACTATGTAATTTGTATGGAATTTGGTATAAAAGAAATCTTTCAAAACCAAGTACCTAATAATGCACAATAAATCCTCACCCCCCTTTCAAAGCTCTGAAAACACTGAATTGGGCTTCTTTGGCTTTTGTAATTGGGAGTTGTAACCTATAATATTTAAATAGATCACATGTAAGCTATTTCTATAGTTTCAAGTGCTCCTATAAGCTCTAATATCTATATATCTTCTAAAAAGAGCTTGGAGAATTACAATCATTTCATTACAATGGGGATCAAGAAGACATTCAAAAGGAAGCTCATCTCAATTACCGTCACTCCAAACACAAAGCTTTGTCCAACAAAACAAATTTCCACTGCTGTGGTCAATAGGCTCTGCATTCTACCACTGTCCAGGGGTTCTGGGATTTCACTAGAATTCTCAAGGTACCTTTGAAAGAAAATAAAGTGATGAACTTTGAAATTTTACCTTTGCAGTAAAATCAGAAGACACAATTATTTTAAAATATGGCATGAATGTTGTCAGTTACATACATACACACACACATAAATAAAAAGTATGACCTTGGCATTTTGTTCCTACTACGTTCCCATAGTATAAAAAAGGAAAAATCATTTAAAGTTCCACAAAAACAAAAACAAACAAGCAAACAAACAAAAAAAACCCAACTTAGCCAGTGTGAACAAGATGCCTGCTACAGAGTCTGGGGGAAGGAGCTTAGAGGTAGACTAGCATGTGTAAAGTTTTCCCTAAGTTCAATCTATAGCACTATAAGGAAAAAAAAAAAAAAAAAAAAGTACACTCTCAATCTTCAGACCCCAAAGATATACTAAGGAAAAGGAAAAACAATAATGGCAGTAATGGTCTTTTCTCTTTCCCTGCAGTGGTTCTTCTAGTGTTCCTTTCCTTCGAATGAGTTTGTTCTCAGGTATGATATGAGCACATGTTTCTTCTGAAAAATGCTAGGGAAAGAGGGAAGACGGTTGGCATGAGAAAAATTTTTTACTTATATGAATTCTTAAAGTCTCAAGGCTATGTCTTAGGTCACTGTGGTAGTTTGAATGTAATTGGTCACCGTAAACTCATAGGGAGTGGCACTATTAGAAGGTGTGGTTTCGTTGGAAGAAGTGTGTTACCATGGGGGCAGGCTTCTTTTTTTTTTTTTTTTTTTTATTTAATATATATTTTTAGGTATCAGTGCTGTGTTTGCATGTGTCCCTGCAGGCCAGAAGAAGGTATCAGATCTCATTACAGATGGTTATGAGTCACTGTGTCACTGGGAATTGAACTCAGGGCCTCTGGAAGAACAGCCAGTGCTCTTAACCTCTGAGCCATCTCTCCAGCCCAGGGGCAGGCTTTTGAGGTCTTCTGTGATCAAGCTATGCCCGGTGTCAGTTCATTTCCTGTTGTCTGTGGCTCTAGATATAGAACTCTTGGCTTCTTCTCCAGCACTATGTCTGCCTGCACACAGCCATGTCCTGCCATGATGATAATGGACTGAACCTCTGAACTGTACACGAGCCACCCAGTTAGATGTTTTCCTTTATAAGAGTTTCTGTGGTCATGGTGTCTCTTCATAGCAATAGAAACACTCAATTGATACATCTGTAAAATGATTGAAATAACTGAATAATCTGGATTAGAGTTTTATAATATTTTAAGTAGTTACCACAAATATATGTATTTATGTGAAATTTTCCTTTTCTAGTAGATTATCTTTTAAGGAAATAGATGGCCTGAGATAAAGGGCTTCTTTTTAGTAAATGCAAATGCCTTCAAAATATGCATTTTCAAATCCTATTGGCATGCTAGATGAGCAGTCAGATAAAAGAAAATTTAAAGACTCTTACCTCTTCAAACCAGTGGCTGTGAGTCCAAAAAATTTGTCTAAGCAGCTCCCAAACACAGTAATGATATACAGTTTGCTGGATTCTGCCACTTTTAAGGAAAGTCTGTATCTGTAACTGGCACTTTCAGCTTTACCCATAGAGCCACACTTGGGACAAGTAAACCTAGAAAAGTCCAAATTTAGGCTGGTAGTTTATATACCAATAGTGAATTTAAATCTTCTTAAAGATTTTACAGTCAGCAACTTTTTTTTCTCTTTCCTGAAATAGGGTCTGTGTGACATAACTGGCCTCAACTATTATGTAGCTAGGGCTGGCCTGGAACTCTTGAGATCCTTGGCCTCTACCACCAGGAAGATGGAACTACAGTCAAGCACTACTATAGCTAGTTTGATGAACTTCACAGATTTTTAATACCAACAAACTGAAAGAAACATATACAAAACTGCTAAATTGATGGGAAACAGTGTAACAAAATAATAACCTTGAAATATTTATACACGAGAATATACTTGTAAGCTAGGTGGTGGTGCTGGACACCTTTAATTCCAGCAGTTATAGGGCAGAGGCAGGCAGATCTTTGAGCTTGAAGCTAGTCTGGTCTACAGAGTTAGTTCCAGGATAGCCAGGGCTACACAGAGACCCTGTCTTAAAGAATCAAATCAATATAAAATTGCATTTCTTTTTCTTTTTCGGTTTTTTGAGCCTGTTCTGGAACTAGCTTGGTAGAACAGGCTGGCCTAGAACTCATAGAGATCTGCCTGCCTCTGCCTCCCAAGTGCTGGGATTAAAGGCATGTGCCATCAATGCCCGCCTAAATTTTTTTTAAAAGAATTTATTCATATTTTTTTAATGTCCTGAAATTTATTAGTTTTTAAAAGATTTATTTTTCACTGTGAGTTTAGTGTGCATTTGCCCTAGAGACACAAAAATGTCTATTTGTATTTCCCTTCACACACAGTCTTGAATTTTACCTTTTGGTGTCAAGAATTATCCGAGAAAAGCACATTTGACATGATGGATATATAAAACTCGAATTCTGGAGAGCAAGCACTGAGGCAAAAAGGAATTTTCGTCTTCTATTCATGTGTCTATATTTTGTCCTGTAAGAGAAAACAAGCATGGGACTCATTGCAAATGTTAAATCACCTGTCAATTATTATTCTTATGAAAACCAATCAGTCAATATTTTCTCTTGTTTCATTATCAAAATGAAGGCAGTAAGTGTCAATATACTGACTTTTTTTTTTTTTAAGTACTGGGAAATTAAATGTGGGGCCCCATATATGGTAATCAAGTACCCCATTACTGAGTTATATCCAAAGCCCTATAATGACATACTGAAAAACTGAACTACTACTTCTGAATAAGTAGTCTATTCTAGTAATTTAGGAGAGACATCACTTAGGTCGTTCATATGCACTTTTTTTTAAAAGTAATTTTATTCATTTATTTATTTTACATCCTGGCTGCAGTTTCTCCTCTCACCCCTATGATCCCCTCTCCTTCCAATTCACTACTTCTCTCTTTCTGTTTAGGAAAGGGCAGGTTGCAGTAAGATTAAGCACCTCCCCATGTATTAGGGCTGGACAAGGCAACCCAGTGTGGGGAGCAGGGTCCACATTTTTTTTTTTTTTTTTTTTTACAAAAGATATAGAAGTTGTGTTTACAATTTTAATGGGAAGGATATTCCATGAACCAACTTCTTTCTTCCTCCTCCCCCATGTTTTTGAGGTTCTCCCTGTTTTGTCCAGGCTGGTCTTGAACTCAATTACTTGCATAGAAGCTGAAAACTGCTTTAGTAGATTCTACTGAGTAGAGTTTTACCGTTTGGGGATAGAAAAGGAACTTACATATAGCAAATAAAAATGTTACAAGGTCTAAGAGATCAGTTTATTTTAATAAACAATCCTTGTTTATATAACCATATCAAAGAAATAAAAGCAACACTCTCTACTTTTATAATTTCACTTTAAATTCTTTAACTTGTATATTGGCTTACCATTTTTTACTCATTGATTAGCTTATTTATGCTAATGCTAATAAGCTGATAAAATGTTTCCAAATAAAGGACTCCATGTGTTTCAGAGAATTATATTAATTTGTAAAACTGTATGACCTGTTTCTGAGACTGCCATCAGTCAATTCTGACCGTGGGATGGAGTTAGGCATAGTTTTTCAAGTATCATCAACAGAAATGTGTTCACCATGGAGACTCATACAAATCCTTTGTTAGGTCATAACATTTCCACGAAAGTAAGATTTTCCCACTGCTTTTTCCAATGAAGTCTCATAAGGTATATAAGGTACACTTAAGGGTAGACCTCCATGTGCAGTGGTATATAGTCAACACAAAGATCAATGATATTTTGGTATCATATTTCTTTCAATACACTCCCTTTCTATCTGATTAGAAAAAAGGCTTCTAAGGGATAATAAAAAAATAAAACAAAATAGAGAAGGCAAAAGATTATTGTGGGCCAATTTTTAGGGGGGGGGTCCAACACAATTATCCTTTATGCTCTGTGAGTGGTCCTATCCCTTGACAGGGAGGTCTGTGTTGTTTAAAAAAAGTAGTTGAATGTGAGACTGGGAGCCAAGCAGTAAGCAGCATTCCTCCATGGTCTGTTTCAGTTCCTGCTTCTAGATCCCTGCCTTGGCCTCTCTCTGTGATGGACTATAAACTGTAATCCAAATAAGCTGTCTCTCCCCCAGCAAAAAATTCTTTATGAATTTTATTACATAGGAATCTTTAGATGGATTGATTTATAATTTAACTAAGACACATATTTTTTTTTCCCTGAGGTACTAGAGACTGAACCTTGGACCTCATATGTACTAGGAAAGCACTTTACTACCAAGCTACACTTTTAATCTCTTTTTGCTCTAAGAGGGCCTCAAGGCTTTCCCAAGGTTGTAATTTGTGACTCTCCTGACTTAGCCTCTGAGTAGGTAGGATTACAGACCCATGCCACCAGGCCTGCCTAGATAATACAATTTACCAGTACAAGGACAACAATATAAGCATGACATTTTGGAATTAATTTATATATTATTGCTCACATTTTAAGGTTAGTTGCTGCTTTTTTATTTAAGGTTTTATTGCCCTCTAGTGGATGAAATATGTATGTAAAAACAATAAAAAACCCAACTAATTTACAGGTAAATCTAGAATTAAAATGAAAGAGTTCATAGCTTTCATTATTTTTACTATTGGTGCTTCACCTCAAAAATCTGAATGGTAAAAAGAATTTAAGAATTAAAATGAAGGACAATGGCATAGGAAACTCCTTTTAAGCACCCAAGAGTTTGTTTGTTTTTTCTTTGTTTTTATAACCTGTTTCTTCCAAGATAAATTTTATATCTATACTTCTTGGCATAGATTATGATGAATGCATGTTTGATGAAGTGCCAGCACTGAATAAGTATTAAAATTAGGAAAACATTATAGACCTGAGAACAACTTCCTATCTGGCTCGCCGAATAATTTTTCCATCTTTCTATTTTGTTGGGAAGCATGGTAGTACAGTATTACATTTCTTTCAGCTCCATCAATCAGCAAACCATGTTCCAACTTAGTAAGCTCAATATATTTACTTACTGTAATATATTGTATATTTGCTAAGTGCCAATTGTTGCTATATGTAAATTAGGGACATTCTAGTTTCCTACTAACTAGATTTATATTCTAGTATAAGAGATGATAGAAAATGATGAAGAAAAAAATTTCTGTAACAGTGACAAATTATTTAAGTGAACTGTACATAATGTTATTAGAAAACATAAAAAGGGACTGATCAGGTTTTTGCTTGGGGGGTGGAAGGGAGATTTTGATAATATAATTTTTGTTTAGAAAAACTATTTTCTGTCAGAGTGGTGGTATTAAAATCATTAAACTTTTTACCCATCTAAAATACTTTTTAAGTGTGTAACTGTGGGGGGAATATTTACTTTATTTATATATGTATTTGTTTACACGTGTACATGCACCTGTGTGCAGGTGCCCATGGCTCTCCTGGAGTGGCTGTTACAGGTAGGTGGTAGTGAGCTGCTGAACGAGGGTGCTGAAAATTGAGCCCAGGTTCTCCACAAGAGCAGCAAGGTCTCTTAACATCTAAACCATTTCTCCCCTAAATGCACAGCTCTTGTAATAAGAAAAAACATAACAAAAATGCTATGTAGGAAACTTAGCAATAACACACAAGGAGAGATCAAGACTGGGAAGAGACTGGGAGAAAGTCTAAGTGCAATGGCACACAGAGGAGAGCTAATTGTTCCCTTTTTTGTTTTCCAGAGATTTCCTCAGTCAGTGTTCAAGAAGGAAGGCACAGGTTTAGTGTTAAAGATATATGGGTAACTATACCACAACCAAAGATACTTAATAATTTATCACAATAAATCATTAATATGGAAACGGGGAATGGTGGCACACACCTTTAAGCACTGCATTCGAGGCAGAGGCAGGCAGATCTCCTTTAAGAACACATACAATATCTAACTTTCCAAAAGGCAGTCAGAAGGATTTCCTAATAAGTACTGGCATTAACATGAAAATCCTAGAAGGATAAGAAGTAGGAAGGATACTGAAAATTAAATGTACAAAAGGCAGAAACAGCTCTTTCTCTTCAGGTCCCAGGTGCTTTGGGAGCCAACGGATACCGTTCAGACATGGCCAAATCCAAGAACCACACCACACACAATCAGTCCTGGAAATGGCACAGAAATGGCATCAAGAAACCTGGATCGCAAAGATACGAATCTCTTAAGGGGGTTGACCCCAAGTTTCTGAGGAACATGAACTTTGCCAAGAAACACAACAAGAAAGGCCCGAAGAAGATGCAGGCAAACAACGAGAAGGCAATGAGTGCACGCGCAGAGGCCATCAAGGCTCTTGTGAAGCCCAAGGTGGTAAAACCCAAGATGCCAAAGTGTCCTGTCTGCAAACTCAGCCACCTGGCTTTCATGGCTCACCCCAAGCTTTGGAAGAAGATTAGAAACTACATGGCCAAGGGTTGTAGGCTCTGCCAACCAAAGCCCAAGGTTCAAACCAAGGCAGAGGCCTCGGCTCCATCTAAGGCCCAGGCTGCAGCTCCAGCTCAGGCTCCCAAAGGCGCCAAGGCCCCATAGAAAAGGTTTCTGCCACTGTGAAGACAGATGGACTGGTGTGACACATCTACATACTATCTGCAGATGACCTGTGCCCTATGCTGTTTTTACAAATAAACTTGAGGCAAGATCTGTTAAAATAAAAAGGCAGAAACAAAATTTTCATCAAAAGAAAATATACTGTTAAAATATTAACCAGGAAAGCCTCAGGGTGTACAACACAGCTTTTCTACTTTTGGAATCATTGCTGGGATATTTATAACAGAGATGGAGAAGCTCGGAGCTTCTGAGGTAGGAAAAAACCAAAAGAAAAAACCAAACCCAAACAAACAGGACTTTGTGTTCAAGTTCAGGAAGTTATTTGTGGATCAGGCAGACAATGTGTTTTACTGATCAATGTGTATTGATAAAACAAGGCAAAGAGTTCTATAATGTAACTTCTTACATATGAGCCAACTGCATTTGCAAGTCTAACAAATTCAAAGTTTAATAAGTAGCAAAGATTGAATCCTTTTAAGTCTTTCTCAACACAAAAAATCTTTTCAATTTTAGTAAATAGTAATATTTCTAAGCAGCCATATGACCAGATACTGAAGACTCTTCCCTTCCTCATCCACTCCCACCTTTCACATGCCAGGTCACATCTACCATTTTATTTCTTTTGTTTGTTTGTTTTTGAGACAGGGTTTCTATGCAGTTCTGGCTGTCCTGGAAGTCACTATGTAGACCAGTTGGCCTGAACTCACAAATATCAGCCTGTCTCTGCTCAGCGTATTCTTTCCTTTTAATAGTTATCCTTTTAGAATTTCATACAATTTACTTTGATCATGCTCTTTTCCTTCCCCCACTTTCCTTCCTACCCAACTAGAAATTCTTTATCAAGAAGAACAAAACAAAACAAAGCAAACAAACAAGGCAGGGTGTGGTGGTATACGCCTTTAATTCTACCAGGAGGCAGAGGCAGAGTGACTTCAGTGAGTTTGAGACTAGCCTGGTCTACATAGCAAACTTCACTCTAGCCAAGGATACATAATTCAACCGTGCCTCAAAAACAAAAACAAACAAACAAACAAACAAAAAACCCCACATTATTATGGCTAGATACTTAAGACTCCTCCCTCTCTTGTCCCCTTCCTCCACAAGCCACATCATATCCACCAGCTCTATATATCAATTCTTTACAAAGGACTTTCCAAACCCATGGTCATTTACCCCCATTTAAAAGTTAGTTTTCTCTGTTGCCCTAACTTTCTATGTAGCTCAGGCTGCTTCAAACTAGAGATTCTCATAATTTGGCCTCTAGAGTGCTGGATTTATAGATGTACTTCACCACACTCAATTGTGTTATTCTGTTTATTAACACTCAATTGTGATCACATATATATATATATATATATATATATATATATATATATATATATGGTACTTACCCTTAGGACAGCAGTCTCTCTTGTTAATTGAAGCCACCCAATACCTGGTTGTTCTTGGCATAATGGGAAGCCCTTAAAAATTTATCTGTAGAATAAATAAAAAATTGCTCTGTGATTCAGTTTTGCAAAGCTAGGAAACAACTTTTACCTCAAGATCCAGCAATTCCACTCTTAGGCATATACCCAAAAGACGCACATTCATACAATAAGGGCATCTGTTCAACTATGTTCATAGTAGGATTATTTGTAATGGCCAGAATCTGGAAGCAACCTAGATGCTCCTCAACCAAAGAATGGATAAAGATGTGGCACATTTACACAATGGAGTGCTACTCATCGGGGGGGGGGGGGGGGGGGGGGACTATGAAATCTTGAAATTCTCAGGCAAATGGATGGAGCTAGAAGAAACCACCCTGAGTGAGGTAACCCAGACACAGAAAGACAAACATGGTATGTACTCATGCATATATGGATATTAGACATAAGAGCAAAGGATTAAGAACCTACCGGCCTATAATCCACACCTCCAGACCCTTTGGTATGAAATATTGTTACTCCCCAATTCAAAAACGAAGAAATAATGAGTCAGAACAAGCCTGGGAATAAAAAAAAGTTTTGGGGGTTAGAAGGATAGTGCCTTTGAGGAACACAAAACAAACCCTGGGGTTGGGGTTAATTCATGACATATGCATGAATGGAGTGTGATATTCTCAGTTTGATCTCCCACAATGAGAAGTGTGTGTGACAAGGTCTAGAGCTGAAGTTGGAAAGGCAGGCAAGGGCAAAGGGCTTCTAACCTAAATTAAGGAATTTGGACTTAAAACATCGAGGAAACAGGAGCATCTAAAAGAATTTAAATGGGCAGTACCTTGATCAAAATTTCACTCATTTGTCTGGTCAAATGGGGAATGGATAAGTAGGGGGAAACAGCTGGAAGACTACTGCCACAGCTATGCAACACTCACAGGTTAGATTTTGGTAATGGCAGTGTTGTGTGGAGGGCAGGACATGGATTTCAATTATGTATGCGAGAGATCAAGGAGTCTGGAAATCTGTCAGTGTCTGGGTTGCGCACATTATTCGGTTAAACATTTTCTCTGGGCACTCAAAGCAATTCGAGGGAACACAAACAAACAAAAAACCTGTGTCAGCACCTAGCACTCACTACTGAGCACAGTAGCCAGCTAACATAGTTTTACAACTACCAGAAGAAAGTCGAGCCTTTTTACTCTCTGGGCTTCCGGGGCTCTGCAGCAACAATAAATGTTAAACATTCGCCAAGGAACGTGAAAATGATTGATTTTCCCCTCTAACCTCGTAGGTTCACGTGGAGTGCAGGGCTACAGCGCCTCGTTAGGAGTCTCTCGATCCAGAGCCCCTCAAGAAGATCTTCCTGGATCTCCTCTCACCTGAAGCAAAGGATCGGGACAAGCCCGGGCAACCAGGAGAGGACGCCGGCCACTCAGACTCAGCAGCTCGGTAAACGCCAACAATCGAATATCCCGCGTACCCTTCCGCCGGAAGTTCCGCCTTGACGGAGCTTCCCGAGAGCCAATCAGGAAAGTCTCCGCAGGGCGTTTCGCTTTTCCGGGCGAGCGACCTTTGTTGTCAAGCTGTGGGTAGAGACGGGGTTTCGAGGGACGTTCTCCTCGGACTGGTGGAGCTGTAGATCCTCCGGCGATGTGTGGGGGAAGTCGGGAGGGCGCGAGGCGTGGGAAGGGGTGACAGCGCCTCTCAGGCGGACGCCGTGGTCGTGCGAGCCGGTGAAGGTTGTCGGCGCGGGGTGGGCAGGAGGGGGCGCTGCTGGAGAGGGAGCAGCCATCGCGGCCAGCCTGGCCCGGCCTGGATGGGTTACTCTGGCTGGGACAAGGCTTAGTCTGCATGGACGACGGGCTGACCCGAGGACTGAGTACGGTGGGGCTGGCTCGGCGGGCACTGTGAAGCCTGCGGGAGGGCAGAGAGATCTGCGAACTTCCTTCCATTTCCTGCTGCCTTCCCGAGAGACCCAGTGTCGAGTCCCTGTCCTTGTTTCCTCACCTAAGTAGGAATGACAGTCATACGGTCTGCAGGGTTGCTGTTCTGGTTGAGTGAGAGGTCACGTGTGTTGTCATGCCTGGTGAAGATTGTCACTAAGTCTCTCTGTTTGTCTCTCTCGTCATTATGTAGGTTTTGCCGAGAGCTGGGTGTTGCAGTGGGGACAGTGTGATGGTGACAATAAAGGCGTGGATATGGCGTGACCTAAGTAGCGACAGGGCTTGGGGAGCCAGAGATAAGGATGGGGCAAAGCCCTGCGGGATAAAGGCCGACGTAGGGTGTGACCACAGTGGAGGTGGGCGGGGAGGAGGAAGGCGAGTGACTAGTGTGGAGGAGGCGATGCCTCTGGGACCAGGAGCTGCCAAGCTTTGGGTTTCCCGAGGGGAGGAGCTACTCTGCAGTGGGCGGAGCTACTGGGCTGGGCTTAGGCTGCGCGCTTCTGCCGGTGGCCCTCTTTCTCTAGCTGCCTAGACTGTGGCTTCCATCCCGAGCCATGGGCTGCCGGGTTCTCCTGCTTTTACCTTTCCTGTCACTCGGGGCCGCCAGGATGATCCGGCCTGGGCCAAAAGCCACCGGCAACCTGCACTTGCCAAACAACCCCACAGCTGGCCCTGCTGTAGCCAATAGCTATTCAGTTTTTTACTTCCAACAGAAGGTAAGCGGAGGCCTGGGAAGTAGGGGTTCCAAGTCCCGGGTTCCAACCGCCCGAACCTTGCTTGGCTAGTAAAGCTAGATGGAGCACCGCCGCCCACTTCAAGTTCTAACCCTAATACTTAGGACTTGCTTTGGTTTTAGGTCACGTTTTCTGGAGGGTGGCTTTATGCCTTAATTTAAAATTTATCAATAAAGATATCCCCGTGTTCCCCAACAAAGACCAAGAGAAATTTCTTCTTCCAGTTCTGGAGATTCAGGATACATATTCCTTAACACTTCTCAACCAACCCTCAGAGGATGCTTCAATCTAAACTCCCCCCACCCCTTGGCCAAAACCAAATTATGGAGACAACCTTGACCCCAGGTCTCTGAACCCGAATTCTAGTGTACGGAGAAGACTAACCTTGACCTCTAGTTCTCTCAACACAAATAGTAATGTACCTATTATAGAATACTAGCACTGTACAGATCCAGCCTGTCTTCTTCACTAAACTGCTTCTCTTAGTTGAAATGTTACCTGTAGAGGCTGAAGGTCTGTAATCCAGACCTGAGGTTAGTGCAAGGATCAGGTCTCTGTCAGTTTTAAGAGTCTCCAATGCATGAGGCATTACTATTACTCTGAATGGAAAAGTACATGTGTTCTCTGAAATGACAAGGAACCCGTGTAACTCTGTATTTCTAGGAGTTGCTGTAAACATGAATGTGCAAGGCACTGGGACTAGAAAGAATGCAAGAATCTGAGCTTGGCTTTAGAAATCACAGCAAGATCCTGGCCTAACTTTGTAATCTTGAACAAGTTACAATTAGTTTCTGAGGCTGTTTTATGGCTTACTGAAAGCTGTAGTGACGATTAAATGAAAGCAGGTAACGTACCCCTAGCAGAGTAGCTGTCCTAAATTGGCAGTTATTGATGCATAGTTACTGATGGGAAGTTTGAATAGGAATTTGGGGAAGAGGGATGGCCTGGGGTTGTAGAACTATTTAATTTAGAAACTTAAAAAAAAATCCTAGAAATTTAAATTTGGATTTATCAAAAACAGAAAATATTTTAAGTTTCACAGAGATACCCGAAGTCTTTCTGAAGTAGCTCCTTTAGTCTCCTGTGGTACAGTTTCCTCCTTGTAAACTGAGAAGCTGGAGTCAGCACCACGTTGTCTGGTACTTTCCCTAGAAAATCCTTGGTGTGGAGCCAGCTGATGTGGACGCTAGCTGGGTCTAGCTGAAAGGAAGGCTATGTTAAGAACCCTAGTAGCACACTTGGGGTGTTCTGCTTCTGTTTGCTTTCTTTATCCTGGGATTTAAAAACAAACACTTTTTTTGTTTGTTTATTGTAAAAACAAAATTGAACTCAGGGCCCTTCACCATGGAACTATCCCTGATGTTTGTACTGGGATCTTTTGAATTTTTTGTTATACATGTATAACTCTTTACAACATCCAGTTATTAACAGTAAAGTTAGAGGGAAAAGTTTTAGAACATATGATCTCTAGAATCTCTCTGGGAATAATGCATCAAGAGGAATGGAAGGGTAGAGGAATAGAATGATGCTAAATGCTAATTTATTTTCCTTTGTCTTTTTCTTTCCTCTGTGTGTGTTGCACTAGTGAGTGCACATATGTGTGGGGGAGGAGGTCGAGGTCAGGTGTAATGCACTATCGTACAGGTTCTCTCATTGAACCCGGACGCTTAGCAGGCAGTTAGTCCTAGTGATCCCCCTGCCTGTCTTCATCCATTGGGGTTGCAGGCAAGTGTGGAGCCATGACTGATTTTTTTTTTTTTTTTTTAATGTGGGTGCTTTGATCTGAACTCAGGTCTTTATGCTCACACAAATGCTGTTACTTACTGAGCCACCGCCACCCCCTCCATCTTTTAATATAATTTAAGACTTCTTTAAAAAACATTTTCAGTAGTTGGCAAGTATGTTTGGCACTCATACTCAAGGCTTGTACTGAGTTTGTACTTTTAGACACTTTTACTATCATGTCTGGTTTATGTGGTATTGGGAATGTTAAGCAAGCACCAACTGAGCTACATCTCTACCCTATTTATATTCTGTGTGTGTATATATACTTGTGTGGTATATGTACATGTTAGTGTGGATATATGCATACAGGTACACATGTATATATGTGTGGATGTTTGCAGAGGGTTTTATTCCTTAATTGCTCTCAAAAATCCTTTTTGGGATAGCATTTCTCACTGAATTTAGGCTAGCTGGACAATGATCTCTAGAGCTTCTCCTCAGCTCTAGTATTATAGGCAAAAGCCATATCCAGTTTTTTAGAGAATGCAGGTATGGGGGAGATTCAGAACTCAGGCTCTTTACTGAAAGCTGTATGCCTAGCCTCCACTTATACATTCTTAATAAAAGTGTATTCTTAAGTGTAGAACAAAGCTCCAAGACAACAAGTCATTCTAGCTATAGGAGGCAAAAGACATCTTAGCAAGCAAGGCAGATATTTAAATAGGATTAGAATCAAGGGTCACCATGATCCCAAACACAAGGAATAGCTTCTTTCTGCCAGATTTCTTAATTCTACCTGTGCCCATGAGGGCATTCTCCAACCTTTGAATTTCTTATCTGTTGTTATTTCTGCTTGAATACTTTGTCCGTCTTGCTGCTCAGCCATTGGGCTGGTTATGCCTTTCACAATGGCTTAACTTGGGACTGCAGTGATTAGGTCTCTTCTGCACACTACTGGTTATCTGCACCCAGCTATTAACTGCTGGTCAGCATTGCTGCTGTCTGTGTCTTGTTCCAGCGTGGACCTCATGGCCACTTGTTCCTGTAGGCCTTCCACATTTCCTTCCTCAGTTGTGGGGTGAGGACATCAGTGAGCTGGGGTGTTTGGATGTATGTACATTGTTTCAGTTCTGCTTTCTGTTCCTGCTTGGGGTTCCTCTACCCAACTTTTGCCTCAGTGGCCTGATGAACATTGAAATGCAGCTGTAAGGAGCTGCATGGAAGAGGATGTTGATGATTACCTTTCTCTTCTTTCTCTTCATTATTGCTTTCTGTTGCTGACCTTCCTTTGGCCTAGAGCATAACTAGTATTGTATGAATTCTTCACTGTTGCTATGTTCGATGATTTCTGGACAGAGTCTTGAAGATCATATAGCTGGCCTCTTAGATGTGATGGATTTGATCTACATGGAGGGGGGTGGGGAGCTGGGTCGAAGTTAAATATGGTCATATTTAAGAGCACAGGCTCAAGAGATAACAGCTTTGAGAATTAATTCTGGTTTTGCCCTATCTGAGTAAATTGATGAGTTGCCTGGAGGTAGCCCCAGTTATATAATTAGCGAAATGGTAATAACTATAGTACACATTTCACAGGTCTGTTAGGAAATATGGTGATATGTGCAAAGAGCTTATGTAGCTCAGTGTAAATCACTGGAGAGTCACTAAATGCTAAGTAGTAATTATTTTCATCTTTCTCTGTAATGCTTTAATTCTTTCCATTCAGAATACTATATTTAATAATTCCTTATGGCTAAAATTGTTATTCTGGAAAACATGAAAATCTCTCTGAACCTTTTCTGTTGCATTTTATTTTAAAACCCTTGTTTATAAGCTAAGATAGGAATTAATGTTCTTTCTTGAAATGGTTTTTCTCTCACGTAGGCATGTAAAAAGGATACCAGGATTTTATACTATTTTGAGTTTTGTAAAATATGGAGGAAAAATTTGGTAATAGATATTGTTAGAATGACTTTTTATTAATAAGACTACTAAAATAGTAGTTCAGATAGCTGAGTGCCTAATGTTTTATCAGTTAATGTTAAAATGTAACTAAATACAAATTAACTTTAGGGTTTTCACTGTTGTTAGCACATTTTGTGCTCTTTGGGATTTAGATACAGAACACTTCAGTGTGTGTTCTGGAATCTGCTTAGCTTTCTCAATTAGCTGTTACTAATGTTTAGAATATGATTGGCTGTGCTCATCTCTGATGCACCTTGAATTCATTCAACAAGTACCTCGGGTCTGTAGCGCTCCTCATTAGAAACAGTAGTGTGGCACAGATTCCAGGGTTTACCAGAACATTAATTGCCCTTGGTGAGTTGCTCCTATGCAATATTTTAATCCTAACTTTAAACAAGCTATGAATACAACTGCAAAGTACATTTCAGTTCAACATTTGTCATTTCTACTACTACATATTTTTGACTTCAGTTTGGTTTTAGGCAGGTTGGAGAAGAAAGAATATCAGTAAGGAGGAATCCTTATGATATGTCTTTTTTATCTTCACTTCTAATGCTACATAGTAGGTAGGATTTAGCCCCCACCCCCTTCTGAGATTGAGTCTTGCTGCTGATCATATACTGGCTTAGAATTTGAGATAGTCTTCCCTCAGATTCCTGTATGAGATTATAGGCAGATACTTGATTTACATAGTTCATCTTAATAAGAAACTTTGATTTGAAAATATAGACCATAAATTAAAGAAGTAGAAGAGTAAAATGAAATATAGAGCACATGTCTAATATATTGGTAATGTAAAAATCTGCTAATACTTAACTGAAAGCTTTATGTGTTTTAAGTAATATGGTGAATATTTAAACATTCATGCATACTGATAGCCATACTATGCATACTATGAAATAGATGCTATTATCTTACTTTATAGGGAAGACTATGCCTTCAAAAAAGTTAAGTCACAGGACTGAGTGTAAGGGTCTCTGCAAACACTAGGACCAGCGGAGTAATGATCTGCATGAGGCAAGAAGGAAATTCTGGTTCAACATGACTTGCTGATGTTGGTTCAAACTTTTAGAGTCTGACACTGGGCAATTTATTTTAATCGTATTTAAATTAAGCTCAGCACAATTTTGAAAAGAAGTTTCTTGATAATTTCTTAATCCCATGTATATAACAAAACTTATAACATGTTTACATTAAAACTCTTTGCAAAGTACATATGGCCTCTTCTATAAAGATGGGTGCTGTTGACTCAGCTCAAGATAAAAGTCTAGGGAGAATGACCGAGATAAACCTAA